ATTACAGGCCTCTCTCATCTTTTTAAGTGGGAGAACTTGCACAATTGGTGGCTGACTAAATACTTTTTTGCCCCACTGTACATCCAGGATTTCAAGACTTTTAGACATTTTGATGCCCTCATTTCTTGACTACGCCTAATGGCTTATCTTTCATTTCATGGTTACTCTTCAATTTCTTTCTCCTTCCTGATCAGATTTGATTTAGAATTCAATTTAAAAAACCCTTGCAACACCTGTTGTTTTCCCCATTTTTAGATATTTTTGCCACAGACTCAGCTTCACCAACCTGGACTCCCACTGTTTTGATTGGCAGCAAAAAGGCATTTAATGAATGTAGACTTGTGATCTCCATCAATTTCTCCTGGTCTTCTTCAGTTGTACATGCTTTGACCCTCTGCAGCAGAGTGTGAGGCTAGATAACAAAACAGACAGTCAAATCTAAGTATTATAAAAGGTTAGTTGGCTATGCATCTCTGGCAAACAAAATAGTGTGAACTTAAAGGCTATGAAGGATCATAATATAAAGGATAGAAAATGTAGGAGGATGAAGGGGATGAGTTTTAAAATTCTTAATTAAAAGAACCCTCTGGGAGCTACTTTGGAAATAAGAAACAAAGGCTAACAGCACAGATAAAAGCTGCTTTTGGCCTGTGAGGTGCACGCAAAGAGCTACATGCCTTAATGGTCCAGAGTAAAGAAGTAAGCAGAATCAAAATCTTGATTTAATTTGAAGTAATTAGATATAATTACAAGTTCCTATGTATGCAATGATTTTCCATTTGTCAAGTAATTGATTTCCAGTTGGTTCTCTATACTGCTACACAAAATTGCTTAAGGCTTTTTGAAGTCCTATAGGGTCCTTCAAAGGATTAATGTATTATATACATATAGCAGTATAGTAATATGTCTTTTTGCCAGTTGGGGAGGGTATAAATTCAGGTTGTTAAGCTACTTTACCACATCATTATACATAGACACATTAACAAATGTAATTCAACATCAACTTTTAGAGGGATGTGAGAGTATACTTATGGATTCTAGGAATCATATGCAGTCCTGGGACTGTGTTTTGTGCATTTTTGACTTAAGTAGTGATGACTAAATAAGGAAAGAGGTCACCAATATAACACAGCTGGATAAAAAATGGTAAGAAAAAGGAAATATGGGGCAAATAAGTTAGGAGATACTGGACAGAAGTAAATGACTTGAAAACTTTTCAGTCAAGCTCTGAATTACTTGAGATGTTGCTTCTAAGATCTAACCAAATTCTATCACAAATGTAAGCAAAATGGAAAAAAAAGAAAAATAAATTAATTTATATCTTCACATTCTAGTATTACCTTTTTAACGCTTGCCGAAAAGTCTGCTATGATTTTCAAAATGTTGTTAGTTTCAGGGAAATCTTTGCAAACATATGGTTCTTCAGCACATATTACTCTAATTGCAAGGCCAGGACCTAAAAGGTAAAAATGGAACAACTTAATGTCATCTGTACCCAATGTGAAAATGATTAGTTATGCTTCAGAAATATTACATGACAGCAATTAAGAGTATGGTAATCAAACCATCATTCTCAGAAAGCAATTTAGCAAAGGGCTTGCAAATATATGATCATGGTTATTACTTCTGAAGTGCATCAGAAATACTCTTAAGAACTTCCACTAAAATAAGACACGAGGGTTACATACCCAACTTTCTTTCCTATTTCAAATACTACTCCTTCCTTACTCTCCTGTACTGCAACATTCTGGTCCCATTGTTCTGTTTTCCCTTTCCCTCCACTTTGCTCCATGTAGTTCAGCCTACCTTAGAATTAGGAGAGGGAAAGAGAAATAGAGACCTATAAAAAAAACTAAATACATTGTAAAATGTTGCTTATGCAGTAGATATTTGGGAACAAAAAGATATTTTTGTTATATAGAGAGATGGGTTTCAATTCCCGCTTGAACCTACATGCCCCTTTGGAACCTGTTAGAATCAGAGGTTCTATCATTCTAAGTATTGATAAATTTAATTAAACTTATACCTGGGAATGGATGTCTTGAAACCAGTTCTTCAGGCAAACCTAGTTCCCTTCCAAGCACTCTTACTTCATCCTTGTGGAAATCTTTCAGTGGTTCTATTACTTTTCCCTATAAGGGAAAACAGTATGATTTATATTCAGGAACTCATTTTTAAATAGTGTATACTTAATGAAAACAATTCTAATGTATTACCACTATTAAGGTTATCATTTAAATCTTGTATCTACAATCCTAATGAAATATCAGCAGAAGCAAAAACAACAGGGAAGTGACTCAAAGAACTCTCTTATTTATTGATATAATGCCAATATACATATATGTACATGCATTCAACACACATACAGTCATACTCCACAGAAACAACGCAATACACTATATTTATTTTAACCTCTTATTGTTAAGCAGGAAATAAATTTTGATATATTGATAAGATTGAATCTAATATTGCTTGTGTATTTAAAAGAACAGTAGAAAGTCTCATTTTGTGTGGGTTGCATACAAATATTTTGGATTGCAGCTTAGTCCTTCCTATGTGAAAGTACTATTAAATTTCAAAAATAATTATTTAACTAACAAAGCCTTAAACCCTCAATAATACTAGATAAGCAACTAGAAAAGAAATTGGGCAGAGTTTATCAATGCTCAACTATTTCTCCAGAAAATTGAAAGGTCAGATGTGATGTTCCATTTACCTCTTCCCGTAACTTTCTGATGAGCTCTGTGTCATTGTGATGCGTCTTGATGACTTCTGCTTTGCCACTAGCAACAACAGAAGCACTTTCAATGAGATCAGGCCTCAACGTTCCTTGGGCAAGGAAGACTTCTTCTGGTTTCAAGTTCAGTTCTCCAATAACTTCATTAGCAATCTAGATATGGGGTAGAGAAAGAGAAAGATTTTAGATGAAATTCTACAATTAAGATAAGCCATAACTCTTCAGGAATGGCAGCTATGCCAATACAGGTAGTCCTCACTTACTGATGGTAATTGAGACCAGGAACTCTGTTGCTAAGCAATGCAATCATAAGGCACAATGTCACGTAACTGCGCCGACTTACAAAGGCAGTCCCAGCAGTCCCAGTTGCCATTGTTAGACAAATCTCATGTGATCACAGCATCAGGCAGTCATGTGATTGCCATCTGCGACCTCCTCCAAGCTTCACCATTGATTTGCTTGTCGGAAGCCAGCAGTGAAGGTTGCAAATGGTTATTACGTGACCATGGGATGCTGCGACATTGTAATTGCAAGCTGGTCACCGAGCACCCAAATTGCAATCAGGTGACTGCAGGGACACTGCAATGGCCACAATTACAAGACCCCGTCGTAAGTACCCCTCATTCAGTGCCACTGTAAATTCAAATGGTTGCTGAATGAGTGGATGTTAAGCGAGAATTACCTGTATGATAAGTGATAGTCATATTAGGGCTGGGCAGTGCTTTGGATACACAGGCAAAAAGTGTGTTGGAAATCATGGGGGTATACACATAGGACCTGTCAGCAACTCCTACAATTAAATGTGCCTTTTCCAGCCTAACAAGTTGATGACTGGAGTTACATGAACATCCCACATCATCTAAAGTAACTTTTTGTCTTCAAATCTAAAGCACTGCACAGTTCTTAATTCATATGCAGTTCTGTCACTTAGTGTCAGGCCTTTGAGGTGGGCAAGATCAGGAAACCGGAGTTGCTAGGGGTTTGGGAATGTACTTCAACCCAGTTATAGTAATGTAACAGGACCCTTAAAGCTTCTCAGAGCCTCTCTATACTTCAACTTTTATCTAACACAATCAAGGTAGAGTTGTTCTGAATTTCTTTCTACTTTCCTAGGACTTGTGTTTTTTTCTGTAAAGGCTTGGCATTCCCCTTCCCCTTCTCTGGCTCAAACTGACACTCCATCGCACTTAGCAGGAAACTAAACTGTAATTACTACAACAATCTGTCCTTTCATAGTCTACAGTCAACATAAGAAATTTTACTAAAGTTAGGAACTCCACAGCATTGGAAGAAAACAATGCAACTGACTGAGAGTGTAGTTATGTTCATTTTTTTAACCATAATGTTTTATTACAACAATATTTCTTTGTGAATACACTCTTCTGTATATGTGCATATAATAGACTCATGCTTAGTATTGTGTTCATTATGCTATTACATTTTTATCACATTTTTATTATGCAAAACTCTTTAATATTTTAAGCTGAGCCAGCAATAGCTGCATTGTAACAATTTGTTCTGGCTACAAGAGAATCCTTTAATTCTTTCACAGCAATTTATGAAACATGAATTGTAGACAATTTCAAAGCAGCCCAAAGCAAAAATGATTGAAGCACTGACTTAACATGCCACAACTGAATTATAATATGGTCATTTTCAGTGTATATAAAATAAAATGCCCTACTGGATAAAACTGTGGACTTTGCTTAAAAGACAGTTTTGTTTCACTTTTATTAAAAGCTTATTTCTAAAAGTGTGCACAAGTCTACAGGGAAAATGGAGCTTGGACTATTCCAATATGTCTGAAGTATGGCAGGATAAGTCCTACTACTGATCACCAAAATGGCGGAAAAGGCCAGATAAACCATAGTATGGTTTTTATCATGACATTTGTGAGTACTTGCTTTACCCTATGGTTTATGATGCATAAACAACATAGTAGGGCATGTAAATGAGGTACTAAGAATTAGTAATTTGATCCTTTCAAGTACCGTATTTTTCCGACAATAAGATGCCCCCATGTACAAGACGACCCC